ACAGAGTCTAAGAAGAGAAATCACGGAAGCAAGAACTGATGCCTCCGAGTACAGCAAACTTTAGTACCTCCCATCCAACTCTGATTGACAGCTGAGTCTAACCTATTGCATGTCCCCATTTGTTTCTGGTCCATGGGTATAAAAGACACCTTCTTCTGGGGGCACTGATGTAATGGATGTTCAGAGTCAACCATACAAACCAACTTACTTGCACGCTAGAGCTGTAGGTTCACATTGCACTGAGTGCCACTGTGGGAAGGTTTTGCCATCAGCCTCATACAGAATGTCTGGAGGATCTATTCAGTGATTTTCATCTGGCGTTTCTCTTACCCTTGGAGATCAGGAGAGCATTGAGCATCATTCTGTGTCATTCTCCACCTTATTCATTGGAAGCAGGATGTAGCCTAGAGCCTAGGGCTTGTGGGTTTGTGGGTAGGTATGTACCAACCAAGTGACAGTAACCATCCCGTCTCTTCCCTAGCTAGTGCTGGCTTGTGAAGGAGGTGCCCATATTGAACTCAGATCCCAACCATTGTGCAGAAAGTACACTTAACCACCGAGGTCTCTCTCTGGTCTTCACCTAGCTCTTTTTGTGCATGGTCTTGCATGGAAGCAGGTTACTGGCTGAGCATCTCTCAGCTCCAAAGCTTTCTTATCCTTCCAGACATCACCACACATAAGATTAGCACGGGCTGACCTGCATTCATGGGTATTGTACTCAGTACTGTGGGTTATTTGGAGCAGTCCTTTGAAACATAGCAGCATTGTCCCATTCAGATGAAGTATACATTGGGATAGCTTGAGCACAACATGCTCACCAGGTGCTTTGAGTGGTGGCGTGGACTTTATTGCAGTCTATCAGAATTATTGCTTTGTTGTTGTTGTTGTTCGTTTGTTTTGGTTTGGCTTGGGTTTTTGGTTTTTCGAGACAGGGTTTCTCTGTAGCTTTGGAGCCTGTCCTGGAACTAGCTCTTGGAGACTAGGCTGGCCTGGAATTCACAGAGATCCACCTGCCTCTGCCTCCCAAGTTCTGGGATTAAAGGCATGCACCACCACTGTCCGGCAGAAATACTGGTTTCTTAAAGCATAAACAAGAAACCCAATCTGTAGTAGGTAATAACTGCAATAAGAACTTCAAATGTTCTTACTCAAAATGTTTTAATGTCCAAATTTATATTTGATTTTTATCCTTGGTCTAAAATTTATCTTCCATGCTTGCAGTTAATATTTAACAGAGAACCTGGCACGCATGGTGTCATTTACCCACACTGTTGATTTCTTTCTCCTTTTGCTAGCGCTAATGACTTTTCCTCAGGCTCAAAATCTGACAAGTTTTTATTTTGTTTTGGTTCTATGCCAAGGTAATAAAAGAGAAGGGCTCCACAATGTGGTGTATTCCAGAATTTCTCTGCCTGGTAATTTCTGCATTTGTCTTCCTCCAGCTCAGCTCCTATTCCCCCCAGGGCAGAGTGGATTACTGTAGGCTTCCAAGTGGCTCTCCGGCAGTGTTCTTACTCCCCTTTGACTAACATTTTGAGAGTAACCTGGCTCAACCTTATTGTCTACTTTAAAAGCCTGATGACACATAAGTTTGTGTTCCCTACTCTCATGCAGGTATCATTTTTCCAAACTTAGGAGGTTGGAACGATAGCTTGGGGGCAAAAGACATTGCATTAGAAAGTGTCTTGTATGTCTTCTGTAAACATGGAGGGCCCTGAAGGCCAGAGCAGAGGTCCAGCACCCACCTTCTGATCCCAGAACATTCTAACAACTCTTTAAAGGTAGTCTCATTGGCCTTCCTCTGCAAGAGTTACTGTCATCACACTAATGCTGAATAATAATTATTCGTACAGCCATTCCATTGTGTCAGTGAGGTCACCTGGAATCCAAGGATGGAGCCAGTGATTGACCAACTGGGATTAGTCAAGGAGTTCTTGGACATCGGAGGAGGTCTATTGGAGAGGGCAGGATGAGAGGAGACAGGACTTCTGGCATATTTCCAGGGAAGGGGTGGTTCAGGAAAAATGTGGAGAGATGATCAGCCAACTGACTCTCTGCTCTCCTTGGATTTATCAGGTTTTTATCCCAGGCTCTGACTCCTGAGTTGTTATTATACTGAACAATTTAGCTATTCACTATAGAAATTATAGGATAAAAGGATAGATTATTTAATCTACTTTCAAACTAAAGGGGCAACTACTAATCTCAAATATTTTACATTGGTATGAATTTTTGTATAATGATACAAATTTAAGTTTTTTTGTCGTACTGTATTTTATGTTTCTATTTCTTAATTAAAGTATTATACCTATGTAACTCATTTAAAAATGTAATATTGTAATCTTTGAAAACTATATATAAATAAATAAATGTTAGTAGTTAGTCTTCTATAATATACAAACATAGTCATATTAGGTATAGTTTCAAGGTCAATCAGAGACATATTTTAAATATATAGATGGTCTTCAAACACTTCTGAGACCTACAGATTATGGCATTTTAATGTTTTAAAAACATAGGACTTTTCATGACTATGAAACACATCTGTTCCTGGTAGGACCAATTTACTCAAAAAAAAAAATGACTGCCATCGAAAAACCTCCATATGGAGTTTGCTTTCATTTGTGGCAGACAGTGGGCAAAGAAGATGCCATTGCCTCAATTGCAGACAGTATGATGTCCAAATTGGACAAGCAGGACACAGAAGAAGGCAACTGTTGAAATTGTCAGTACAAGGTAGGACAGTCCTTCAAAATCTCTGCTTCACAGAAAAGTGTCAGATATTTTAGGCCCATGGGCCAAAGATGGATACCCCAGTGTTGCAGAGGAACCTTGGAGTGACTGTCCAGGCAGCCAAAGGTCTCTATCATTTTTTAGTTTTGGGGAAATGCTTGCTCTGTATTTCCTGTTTATTCAGGTAATAAATATTATATCCTTCTAGCCTCTCTGATGGAGTTGAAGATTAGTTATAGTTACAACTTTTCTTAGTTATGAAAGTAAATTAAGTACAAAAATTTTGACTCACCAAGGTAAGATAGATAATAGAGTATTTTCTCTGAATTTGCCAAATTCTAATGAAACAGACATTGTGAATGCATTTCTTACTTGGTAGTTGTTCTTACTGTAGTTAGTTTTGCTATGTTAGAGTTCAAACCTTTCCTTTTTATTCAGACAGGAAGGAAGAAATGCTGCAGGGGAATCATTCATCCATCCATCCCATTGTACCAATAAAGCCACCTTGAATCAAAGGATGGGGCCAGTGACTGGCTGACCAGCGTTAACTATAGAGACCATGGAGTACTGAGGAGGTCTGCTAGAGAGGACAGGAAGAGAGAAGAGAGGATTTCTGAGGCATTTCCAGGGCAGGTGGTTTTAGGAAAAGCATGGAGAGAAGGTCAGCCATTTGACTCTCCACCATCCTTGGATTTATCAGGTCTTTTTTTTTTTGAAAGTAAATTTTATTAAATTATAAAAGTTTCCATTTCTGCCCCTCTTCCCAACACCCTCCCACTCCCCCCACTCCCTCTCCTCCTCCCTCTTCGTCCCTTAGGGCAGTCAGGGTTTCCTGCCCTGTGGGAAGTTCAAGTTCCTCCCCCCTCCCTCAGGACCAGGAAGGTGAGTATCCAAACAGACTGGATCCCCAAAATCCAGAATATGCAGAGGAAACAGGTCCCAGTATCATAGTCAATGGCTTTTCAGAAAGACTTCGGGCCAGCCACATTCAGAGAATCCGGCCAAATTCTGAGAATCTGGTTAGATCACGTCCTCGTTCAGTCCCAGTCCAACTGGCCTTGGTAAACTCTCATTAGATCCGTTTCCTTGTATCAGTGGGTGATAGCATCCCTCGCAGTACTGGTTTCGTTTTTCATGTTCTTCCTCCTTCTGCTCCTCATTTGGACCTTGGGGGGCTCAGTCCGGTGCTCCAATGTGGGTCTCCGAGAGAAGGGAGTAGGGGAGGAATGGGGAAAGCTCGGTGGCCTGGGATGGGGGGGGGATGGAGGAAGGATGAATATGGGATCAGGGAAGAATATATTTCAACTAAGGGAGTCATTTTAGGGTTTACAGAAGACTTGATTATATATGGGATCCCAGGTCCAAGGAGAGATCCCCCAGATTGTTCTCTGGACAGAGGAGAGGGTGCATGAATCGGCCGTGGCCCATAACCATACTGATGTATATTTTGCTTATCACCATAGATCCTTCATCTGGCGAAGGACGGCGATTTATCAGGTCTTTATCTCAATTTCTGACTCCCGAGTTTTTATGGTACTGGGGCAATTTAGGCACTCATTTCACACTGAGGCTTCTCACCCTGAGATGCAGGCTTTGGGAAAGCATTCGCCATGCCTACAAACCATGATCAATCACCTCTGTTCACACCATCAGGCATGTCCTCAGAGAGAAGGCAGCTGCTGAGCAAGTCATGGACTCCAGTGTCTCAGTAACAATGCTTCAAACGCCTGGGCATAAGACCAGTGTTGGGAAGGCTTCACTTCTGTCTGCCCAGAGGAACTCTCTGTGGGACAACTGTGTCTTCAAGGGGTAGAAATCTGGGAGTTATCTTTCCCCATGTCTTTCAATTTTAGGTATTCTCTGAAGGGCTTCTCCATATTTCCAACCATGTAGTTGCTCAAGCATTCATTTGCTAGCCTGGCCATACAGTGAGCTACTAAGGAAGAGGTGGGAGTAAATCCAAGTGTGCCGGAACACGTGATCACATTTGGAAAGAGAGTGGAGCACACTGGAATGAAGGACGCGTCCAGCTGGAGCTCCGCCTGGAACCCAGTCTGGTCAGGTTGCACCCAGCCTTACTAATGCACAGACAGTATCACCGGATCATCCATCTCTCGTCTCCACTCTGAACCTTCTTCTGAGCACCTTGTCCTGGCTCCAGCCTCTGGTGCTGTGATGGGACACAAGAAACTGAGCCTTCAGAGCTGAGGTGAAGGTGCTAAGAGATGGATTATGACATCAGCCCTAGCCCCACCTCATGGTGACCACAGAGAGGGCTCTGCTGGGCTTTCCTCCTTCCTCAAGCAATGATGCCACTTGCAGCCTTCTGTTCCTCAGACAAGGAAAGTTTCGTGAGAGCTGCCCAGAAGCTGCCTTCCTCACAGTGGCCCTCCGAAATCTGGTATATGGCTCCCTTAGACATTGTGCTGCGAGACATGGTCAGCCTATCCCGCCATTGGCTGGATCACTGTCAGCCATTATCAGAGCACTCGCTTACCTTGTCTTTATTAGGAAATAATAATATTGCAGTGTCCTGCAAGATAGTTTATGTGGTGTTTACACACACACACACACACACACACACACACACACAGCGCACAGTTCAGCAGTAGATCCTGAGCTGCATTCAAACAAAGGATATGTGGCTGGTGGGACAGCTCAGAGTAAAGATCCTTGCCCTGCAAGATTGACAAGCTGAGTTTGATGCCCGCGACCCATAAAAAGGTGGAAAGAAGTGAGTTCATTTTAGGGAGTTCATGGGGCAAGAAAAAGAAGCTGTGCATGTGTGTGTACATGCATGTGTGCTTACATAGACCTGTGAACCTGTGTGCAAAGCTCCATAGGAAACTCTGATGTTTCACACCTTGATCTTCAGATTGACCGTTCCTTTCCGGTCTGCTCATTTTCACCTTAACAAAATTCCTGACATCCAGAAGACTTATTTTCTATAGATAAAATTCTTTCCACTTTCATAAACCCTGACAGAATTTTCTTTTTCTTTCTTTTTTTTTCCTTTTTTTTTTCCTTAGGCAAAAACTCACATGACAAGACAAAAGAGAAGCTTTCCAAACCCAGAACACGGCTCAATCCATCAATGTCCCCTCCATGACGGGTACTATTAAGTCAAACCTTAATTAGGGGGTCCTATTTATTTTTCTTGGCTTATTTACCTCCATCCAGGGGAATTCATCACTGAACAAGTAATTCCATCTCAAAGGTTTTACACACTTGATGATATTTCCTAGAGAAAATGGAGACTGAGAAGGTGGTGTCTCCCTTGCTTAGGGCCCAGGTTCTAGTTCAGTTTTACCACTGTGTTTTATTGTGTTTTTAAGCCCATGAAATATTTTAAAGCCTCTGAATTTCCAAGCCTCTACTCTGAAGGCAGGAGGAAACTAAGCAGGGTAGGACAGAACATGTCTCGTTTTGGCATCAGAGAGGGTGGTGAATTTAGCAGGGAGTGAACATCAAGGCCAGGCTTGGGGGAGCAGTTGAGCATGGGCTGCTTGGTTAATACGTCCTTATAAAGCATGAACATTTCCACGATCCCGCGTGTGATCCCTGTGAAGTAGATCCACACAAACTGTGGGTTCCAGGCTTTAATTTAAATTTTGGGTGTTGGCTGAAGGGACTCTTCTCTCTCTCTGAATGAAGACTTCAGGATGAGACTCTCCGCTTCCAAAGCAGTGAGAAGCCTCAGGTTTGCCTAGTGAAATATTGATAAGTTTCTGATTTGCAATGATTTTCTGTCTTTGCTGATTTCCTCTGCCTGTGGTTAGCTTCCATTTCCCGGTGATTTTCACTCATCCAAAGTCAGATGAAATTAGGCCAGAGTTCTTTCACCAGTTCCAGCGGTGACAGCGATGTCCCCAGATGTAGGAACCTGCCATTACCTGGCTCCTTTATTTGGTCCACCATAAATATTTTATTCAGTCTTTAAATAAGGCAGCTAGTTGAGTAGCCACGAGGACCTGCTTGTGTCTGCATGCACAGAGCAGTTCACAGTTGGTTGAGAACACGGTGAGTTAAGAAACCAGTACAATGTTCACTTCCAATACTTAGTTATCAAGTTTGAAAGAGATGGCCCTGCCCTCAAAAAACACATGAAGGTAAACCACATGAAATTGCTGGTATAAATCTTTTGACATTTTGGAAGGCAACCACCCATGATTTAATCTAAACAACATGTTCTCGCATAACAGGGATGCATTTTTAAATAATCAGAAGATTCTGTGATGGACCTTAGTGTTTTAATGAAACAAATATCAGTACTTGATACTTGTTTCAGTTACATCGAAATTAATGAGATTTCATACACGGGGTATTGAAATTATTCTTTTCAACAAGAATATAGTGGCCCAGAGGGAAGCATTGTATGCTCATTCTCAAAAATTTTAAATACATGGGCTGAACAACTTCCATCATCACACTATACTGAAATCCCAATGGACACGAGTTATTGAATTAAAAATTATTCATCAGCGTGAAGTCTTTCCAAAGTCTGGGAAGCTGTGCAGAAACAGTAATGCAGATATCCATGCTTCTAGTAATTATTATCATTATGTATATTTACATATACAGATTTATGAGCACCAAACAGGATGCAGGCCTTGCAGTCTTGTAACCACTCATTCACTGGGTGGCTTCAGCATAGCAACATTAATCTTGTCACCACCCCCAGCTGAAAATTTCATGGCTGGTCAAAGCAAAGCAGATAAAAGCCACCGCTAGCCAGTGCCAAGTTCTCTGATGCAGCAAGCTTGGGATTACAATGCAGAAATATATGTGCATTACACATTATAATATAAATATATATTATATAGACGAATACACCAAATTAAAAATGTCAATTTATATGATATACATTATATTATAATTCATTATGTTTTATTGCATAAGCTCATAATTTTATATAGCATATGATTATTTTTAAATCATTCAAAGCAATGGTTATTTTACTATAACTTTTATAGGGAGTCTTTCTTTGTGCCACTCTTATAAATCTGCAAGGTTATCTTACTACATGGGAAGTTTAAATAACCTAAAAGAATAAAAGAACTCAAAGGAGGTGAAGAAAGAAGGGGTTTGTCAGTATCCTTGCTATGGTCCTAGTTCATCCCTGAAGGGTCTGGCAGCCGAGCTCCATCCTGACTGCTTATGAACTCACAGAAGCGTATATCCGAAAGCTCCGGAACTGGGGAGGTCAAGGCCAAGGCACATCTGACTCAGTGAGCATATGGGAGTGGTTCATGGTTTGCACCTCTTGCTCTCTCCTTTGTGGTAAAGAGACTGAGATGTCTCTGGGACTCCTTTCATCGGCTCACCAGTCTTACTCCAGAGTGCTCTAACCTCTTGTCCTGACCACCTCCCCGGTGTCTCACTCTCACCATCAACCCAAGTGGGCACTTAGGACTTCAACAGATGAGTTTTGGGGAGGACAAACGTTCAGTCTGTAGCAAGCGCTACTGTAAGGAAGAGGTGTGAGGACAAATGAGAGGTGTGTGCTTGGGGTCTGTTTCAATCTACACATCAGGGTGTGTGATCACCCACAGAGGGGCTGTGGTGTGGGCTCCAGGAGTCGCACCTGGTCACATTTACTTGTTGGGGATACATCACAAGTAGAGCGAGTCCCTCTCACACCACGTGGCCTGCCATATACTACGGAGCTCAAACTGGGTCATACAGTCCTATGTCATTGAACGTGACAACAAGAAGCTCAGCAGGAACAAAAGCTTACTTTTGCCTACTTTAAATCTCCAATGACCAAACATTAATTCAAAATCAAATGTTTAATGAATTCAAGGTGCTTCTGACAGGGCTCGCCCATGGTGTCTCGAATGGCTGCGTTGCAGCCTTGTTTTGAACATATGTACCTTTGTCGTTGGGAGTGGTGTCACCCCACACAGCAGCACTGACTCTACCGGGAACCCCTTGGCTCAGATTCCAGATGGCTGCATGCTCTGTGTGACGGAGTCTCCACAGCGCACACACACTTTCCTGCTCTCGTGGGGACACAGACTGAGGCTTTCTGATCATCGCTTTTCAGCATCTCAGTATCACATCATATTTTTTGGGTTTTTAATTTTATTATTTTGCTATTTGAGTTGCTGGCTTGAGTTTCATAAAAAGGAAAAAGAAAAACAAGTAAATCATTAAATGGAGTTTGGCTTAGAATCCCTAATAATTTCTTAAATAACCCTAGGCATACTTCTGTCAGTTTAAACAACCTATTTACACCAAGAGATCCTCTCAGTATTGAAGATTAAATAGTCAAAATAACAACCAACCCTGGAAAACACTGATGGTGTTCTGTGTCCTACTACATCAGATATTCAGCTAAGATTTAATTCTTCAAGTAAAACTAAACGGATGCATGATTCCTATTGGTATATCTATTAGCTTTCATTTTTAATAATTTCCAATATTATTAAGAGCTGTTTCAAAATAAATTCCTTTGTAATTTATTTTCAGTAAATGTTTGATTTGTGTGCTTATTTTTATGCACTTACCTATTCAGGTCATATGAAAAATTATCATTTGTAAGGAGCTGTGAGCAGGAAAAGCCCAAGGAAACCTGCTCTTCTGCACTGACGTGTCCTCAAGACTTGGTGCAGAGAGGCGGAAGGAGTCTGAGCTGGTGTGAGGAGGTGAGATGCCACAGAGCAAGCAACTGACCTGACTGTGGATCTGGAGGAAGGGCAGAGTGAGTGGGATCCTCTCAGACTGGCCGGGTTACCCACAGGATCCCGGCATTATGCTACCAGGACAAGAACGCATCTTAGGATGGTGAGCTCTTCTTGGTTTACTTTTTGTTAAATTGTTCCAGGGTCTTAACCAAAAGTTGTTCCTGGCTATGTGGATGAGTTCCTGTAGATCCAGTCAAATGTTCTTGAGGAGGTGAGAGTCCATTGCCCCATTAGGTGGTTTGTGGGCTACAGGGTCCCAGAAGTACCATTGTCATGCTAACCTGAGTGGTATGATGGTATATCCATCCTTCACACATTCTGGAGAGACTCTTGACACTGCTCAGTTGGGGTGGACTTGGAAACTGACCAGGAAGTTGTTCAATGGCCAATGTCTCCAGCAGCAGCCGTGCTTGGAAGCTGGAGATCTGTCCGTCTTCACACGGTAGCCTGAGGTTAGTTGCCCTGTGCTGCTTGGCCCCAATACTCTTTCTGCATCCTCTGCTTGCTCCTAGGTCACATACATTTTCTGTGAGGAGCATGTGTCCCCGAGTCACAACTTGCCTTGTTATTGCTTCTCCCTCCCTCCATGCCTGTCTTGCAGGAGGCTCCTCAACAATGAAGAGCTTCTTGGCTCTCTGTGATATTCCACAAAGTTTTTGGATGGGAGAGTAAGACCTTCTGATACATCCTTGACCACAGCATGATCCAGAGTGCTAACTCTCAAACTACAGCCAGGCCGGGACTTCCCAAGCAGTGCTATTCCACTTGTCCAAACAAGAAGGTGTCCTGGTAGTTGACAGGGGAGACTTGGTGCTGCTATACCTTCCAGCGAGATCTTGGAAGCAGATGAACGGCACAAAGCACCCTCTGCAAGCAAGGAGGTTTGAATAGTCATTCTCCATGTCTGTAAGTAATATGTTAGAACTTTTTAAACAGTCAAAAGTTCCAAACTCGTTAGCGAATTTAATTGTCTGTCTTTTCATTTTACCTTCTTCCCACGTTGAGAGGGGCCTCTGCTTCTTCTAGTTCTCCATCTTGCCTGGTGCAGGCCCCTTGAACACAAATTCCACCTCTACTTTGGACCCATTAGCCAGGCCTAATATTTGTTAGTGGAATTGACTTGAGTTTGAACTGCCAGCAAATCAAGTAGCTGGACAATTGTGCCAGGGTGGCCAGCAAAGCCTTCACCCAAACTCTGATCCCACAGAGGCCAACAAGATCTCAAGGCTCTCCCTCTTAGAAGATGTGAGAGACTGTGACCAATGGCTTTATTTCTTTTCCTTTTTCTTTCTCTCCTTTCAGTTGAAGTCACCTGGTATAAAAAGCAAATAAAACACTTGCAGCCCCAACACTACTGCCTCAAGCCCCATGGCAGCCCTGAGCTTTTAGTGGTTGGTACAGTCTTTGAGATCCAATTTTTGCACAGGCCACACATTTCCATAATCGCTCCTCCCTGCCTGTCCCCGCCCGCTGCGTTTTCCATGGCCATTTTATAACCGCACGCCTAAGCTCCGTCAATATTCAAGTTAGTGCTCTAAAATGAAACTATAAATTTCAATTTGGAGGAAATAAGCCCTCATTTGGGTTCATAAGTTTGAAATAACACATTACCATGGGCTGCAGCTAGGTTGCATTCCTGGTGGGTTTTTTTTTTTTTTTAATGCGTTTGACAATGGATGATCCACTCTGCAGAGGACAGCCAAAGCGAGTGAGAGGAAAGGCTGCTTTCAAAGCAGCATTTATTAGATCCGTCAGTCAGTGCTGCTTCTGAGATTCTTACTAAAGAAATATGACACCTTTGCTGGCATGTCATTGTCTGCAGCTTCAAGATTTGGTCACTGTCTTTTAAGGGCCGGTAGAACAAAACAGAGACTAATTTAAACATTAAGAACATGGCCACAGAGACAAAACCATGCTCAAAACTGGGAGAGAGAGAAAAGAGCAAGTGGGCTCAGGCCAGGAGAACAGGAGGACAGCCACTGTGATTCCAGTGACAGTCACCCCACTTCACGATTGATTTTTGGATCATCCTGAGTTCCATGTCTATACTGGGTATGCATGAGAAAGCACCTGTGGGCTTTCTTTTATCCCAAAAGCATTTGATCTTCTACTGAACTGGAAGTATCACACACTGAGTAAAGATGCACTACATGTAACCATCCCAAGGGAGAAGTTGCTCATGACTAGGGTGTGGTCAAAGCTTCAGTCCCAGACTCCTTGTGAAACAGTCACCCCAGAAAGCAAAATGAGTAACAATACAGTCTTCTATGGAAGTAGCTGAGCTGGTATGCATTCTGTTGAATGGCTTTCATTTTTGACCACAGCAGCATAAGTCGGACAAGGGGTTTGCAGGATGCTGAACTATGATCGATGCTCTGGAGTCTGGAGATATTTGTTCCATGATGAGAGGCTGTTACCCGTCACCAATACCATGACAACTAGCATACACTATGATTATATACTAAACTGGATGGAGACAAGAGTGGAGTTTAGCTGATAGAGTGTCTGCCTACCATGCATAGAGTTTTGGGTTTGGACCCCAGCACCGTGCATCTTGGACATGGTGACACACATCTATTTACACAGTAGTCAGAAAGCAGAGGCGGGAAGGTCGGGGTGAGAAGACATACTAGGGTAGATAGCAGGTTTGCAGCTAGCCTAGGCTACATAAGTCTCTCGGGTGATCTTTTCATTTATTACTTCAATCAGGTTGCTTAAAAGTTTTTAATGTGATACTCTTATGTAGGAAAAATATTATTTTCTCTACAGAATGTTCATGCAAGCATATTTTAAATCCAAGTCTGCTATTCCAAAGTTTTATCAATTTCTTTTTAAATTTTTGCATCAGTAAATCTAATTCTGAATACTTTTTTAAAATAACATTTCAAATCCCCATCCAGAAATAAAGTTGAGAGATATCCTTAAGCTCTTCTGTCTGCTGGCTTCCAAAGAGCTTCCCTCTTCAGTCTTGTGGATTAGCGCAAGAGGAACCCACTGAAGAAATATTAGAAAGCCCCAAATCAAGACCAGTAGCTTCTTGGAGGGGTCATGGTGTTAGAGGGAGTCCAATTGATGTTATACAATCATATGAAGAGAAGTCTGGCATATTATTTTGTTGTTGTTAAATGGAAGACTTTTCATGCATTGTGTCATCCCGGTACCTGTCCAAAAGAGGTGAAAACTCATGTGCACATGTGTAGATGCCCATATCATATTAATTTCTCATCGATTGAGCATGAGAAAAACTCCATGAAAATATGATACAAATATATATATATATATATATATATATATATATATATATATATATATATATATATGTTTCAGGGAAAATGATGGAACTTGAAAATATTATATTGAGTGAGATAGCCCTGACCAGGGAGACAATCTTCTCACACTCTCTCTTTTGTGGTTCCTGGCTCTAAATCTTCAGTTGTGAGTATTTAAGCTGTACTAAGCACAGAAACCAGGGAAGTAAAACGTTACCATGGGGATGTTATGGAGGGGAAGAGTAGGATATGGGGAAAATGGGGCAATGGCCTGTAGCTGGGGAGGGGAGGGAGGATGATAGAGAAGGGAGTAAGGGAGAAGAGATAAAAATTCTGCTAATGCTGTGGATGATTCCAAACCTCATAGGGAATTCAGTGCTTTCATATTTACCTAAAATTTCAAATAATACTTGTAAGCATATGTACACATGTGCAAATAGAAGTGTTTGTGTGTGTGTGTATGTATGTATGTATGTATGTATGTGTGTTAACTGATAGTGCTCATGGCAGCACCATAGATTATTGAACAAAAAAATCCCAATACAAGTCATGAGAAACCTTGTTTTGAGCTGTTGCTCAGAGTCTAAGAAACCCCAAAACAATACAGGATATTGTTATTGTCTTTGGTCAAATCCCAGAATTTCAAGATACATCCTTATTGCTGAAGATGCCACACATTGAGACACAGGACTTGAAGGAATTGAACTGGATATGACCAGGTAGCCTCCCCCCGAGGAATAGCTCTCATAGTATCAGAAGAAACAGCAGCTAAACGTCCTACTGAGCTGCAACACCTACAAACAACAACAATGACCAGCCCAGCAAGACAGCGGCACTGTTCCCTGGGCAGAAGTGAGCAGCTGTCTCGTCAGACTTAATGCCAGAAGAGAGATCATGGACGGTGTGATAAACCTAGCCAGCTTTCTGTGGTGAGCGAGGTCATGTATCCATGAGGAGAGCCTATGGCTGTCATTTTTCAGATACACCTAATATGATTCCTAAGTGCACTCTATGTATGCATCCATACAGCCCTCACCAACGAACATCCTTCCTGAAGTAGATGGAGACCAACAGGCTCACCTGCAGAAGCACAGCTAGCCATGTGGTGAGGCCCAGCAGATGCATTTCAACACAAGGCTCAGGAAGAGGGTCAGAAAGATAAAAAAACAGAGAAATCTTAACAATATGGCCGCCCAAAGACCTGCACCATGACAACACTAATTGATATGCCCACGCCGAAGGGGAAATTTCACAGGGTCCCATCCCTGGAGGAAGAGCTACAGGAAATCAATGACTGCTTAAAAGGAGAGAATTCATCTTCCCCCAAGACATAAGTCCCCTAGTTGGGGGCAAGGCTGTAAGCAATATAAAACCAAATAAAAACATTGTATCTATTTACTCTATATTTGTGTGTGCATAACAATAATAATTAAAGAAAAAGGCCATATATTTGTTGGAGAGAGAAATAGGAGGGGTTGTAGAGAGGATAGAGTGGAGGAAAATGGTGTAAATACTCTCTCTCTCTCTCTCTCTATATATATATATATATGCATATATATATGAATTTAAAAGTTAATACAAGATTAAAATATATTGATTTGATATTTAATTATGTGTACATGCGCGTGGCAGGTGTGTGGCATGCACATATCATTACTAGTAGCAGTGTAAGTCAGGAGCATCTGATGTCCCTGGAGAAGGCTCTACAGGGTGTTGTGAGCCACTGATGTGAGCACTGAAGACCAGACTCAAACTTTATAAAACGCCAGAATTTCTTCACCACCGAACCACCTCTCCAGACCCCCTTTTCATTTCTCCAGTGTATCTGTTAGGATGGAAAACACTGATCCCTTCAACCACAGGTAGACATCCTCTCATGTGAACCCTGCAGTTGGTGGGAACGGTTTTTACTTGCTCAGGCCTGTTCTCCTCTCTCACCATGCTCCTCTGCCCTTACCTCCAGCTGTGTTCTGCACTCAGTTTTACCTTACTTCTGCTAAGATTCACCAGAAGCTTGTGCCAGGTAAAACTCTATTTTAAGCAAAGACACAAATTTCTGATGACAGATCAACTTTTGGACACAGGAAGGGCTGGAACCGCTTCAGAATACTGGCCTTCAGCTGCATGTGATTCCCCTGGCAGCCTGACAGGTGAGGATGTCTTACAGGAAGGATGCTCCTTTTCACAGCCAAGAGGTCAGCCTAACCCAGTAGCAATTTCTATATGCATTCTGCGGCTTACCGCTAGATGCTTTCTTGTTGCTTTCTCTCCTCTCTCTGCTCAGAAGTCTGTGGATGATGATCATGTCATAGTTGTGAAGAGCACTAGGAATCCACTCAGTTCCTTTATTTTAATTAAATTTTTAAATTTCATTTTACAATCCATGCACAGTTCTCCTCCTACCCTTTCTTCTGCCCTCCCCTGCCTTCCCCCCGTCAACCCCACCATCCACTCCTCCCAATAGGTAAGGGTTCTCATTAGAAGTCAACAACGTCTAGCATATTAAGTTGGAGCAGGACCAAAACCCTCCCCCTGCATTAAGGCTGAGAAGAACATCCCACCATAGGGAATGGGCTCCAACAAGCTAGCACATGAACCAGGGATAGAGCCCACTGCCAGGTGCCTCACTTACGGTCTAAGCTTCACCACTGCCTCCCACATATGGAGGGCCTGCTTTGGTCCTATGGAGGCTCCAGAGCTGCCCATCTAGAGCTCATCAGTTCTTATACTGAAAGTGTGTGTGCATGTACATTCATTTACAATTTGCCATATTTGTGTTGATATCTTTTACATAGGACATATATGTGTATGATTTAATAATCATGAAGGGAAGGTGTCTTTCTGTCCTTGTGTCCAGCCAAACTCAGATCTCCTGAACGTGAAGTCAGGCACTGTGACTCACCCATCATCCACCTGTATCTTCAAAGTGACCAAAAGGAGACAAAATCTGGACAAGGGAATGGGACAGTGACAGCTGTCAGGACTGTCTCACATTCCCTGACCTCCCTCTGAGGCCGTCTTCTTGTGCTTGCTCCTCTTCTTCTTGGTCTCATCTTGTGAACAGTTTATCACATCAGAATCTGCATTTACTTACTTATTTTTTAATGTGTGCACGTGTGTGTGTGTGTGTGTGTGTGTGTGTGTGTGTGTGTGTGTGTGTGTGCATGTGTTCATGCCCGGGGGACCAGAGGACAACTTCAGGTGTTGTGTTAAGGAGGCAACTTGTTTGTTTCCTGGCTGCCTGACAGTTTAGGAGGGGTTGCTTTTTGTTCCCAGCCACTTAGTCCCAGAATAATCACACAAAAACTGTATTAATTAAATCACTGCTTGACCTATTAGCTCTAACTTCTTATCAGCTAAATCTTACATCTTAATTTAACCCATCTCCATTAATCTGTGCATCACCATGAGGTTGTGGCCTACCAGCGAAGGTCTCTACTCTGCCCTTATTTCTCCCAGCATTCAGTTTCATCTTCCCTGCCTACCTCTGCTCTGCCCTGTCATAGGCTCAAGCCAGGTTTCATTATTAACCAATCATATTCACAGCATACAGAGGGGAATCCCACATCGCCTCCCCTTTTTTGTTTAACATATTAAAATTACATATAACAAAAGTTATCAAGCAAAAATTATAGTTACAATATTTATATATACCTGATATTTTATCATAACTAAGGAAAACTATATGCTGGTTGGCCAGTGAGCCCCTGTCACCCACCAGTCAGCATCTCTCCAATGCTGGTCTTACAAGTATACAGGCCATCACACCCTGTCCTTGTAAATGGGTCCTGGGAGTGGAAGTGAAGTCCTCACGCTTGCAAAGAAATGCTGTGCTGACCGAGCTGGCTCCTGTGCCCTGAACTTGCTTATACTCCTGCTTTCCTTGCAGTGTGTTTATGCCTTTTCTGAGCTTCGCTACATCTTCCTCACAGCTGCTCCAGATGTCTGAGCTGCTCTGGATGTGGTTGTACAGAGGTGCAGAGTCTAGTCCCGTATGAAGCATTTTTGCAAAGTAACCACTTCTCCATCACAATGCCAAGACTTACCCTGGGCGGGTCCCTGGAGGGATTCCGCACTTTCATTGACCCTGGTGCTGTAACAACTGTCTAGACACTTCTAGGCATGGGCCCAAAGCAAAGGAGAACCTCATTGAGCAAGCCAATGGGATAGTCCCAAGGCAATTCTGGATCTGATTCCTGGGTCTGAATTGGACCTGACACATCTCGGTGTGATTGACAACAAAGGTCAAACACTCTTAGAATTTCTAAGAACAGGGCGCAGCTGGGTCTGATCTCCACTAAGCAACCGTAGACCTTGGTTACCGGGCTGCTGGTGCTGTTGTTTGCATGCTGTGATAGTTTGCCTGGTTCTTTTCAACACTCTCCAGCTTGGCAATTTGTCTCAGCTTTAAGCAGGTGTTTGTTATGACCGGGAACATAGGACCGGGCTGGTCTTTCGAGCATGCTGGCTGAGCAAACGAATGTTGCCTACGAACTTTCCCCAGGCTATCTGATGACTACCGAGCCTGCTTCCAGCTACTCTAATCTAGCTCAGGGACATGCAGGTACATGAAAGCCTTTGTATCTCCTACCTCACACTTTTTAATTGATATGTTCTGCCCACTGCAGACTCCCTCTGTGTTTGATGCAATGGTTTGATTATGCACAGGCATGAATCTATTGGGGCAGGATAAATGAGTACAAAATCAAGCGGAGGAAAGGCTTGGAAATGTGATAAAGCCGAGAACACACTCATAGGCTCACCTTTGATTTGGAAATTTGAACTGATGGAAAAAATCATCAGCTTTACATTGAAGACAAAGGAGAATAATAAGGTTTTAATAATGTCATAGACATTATTAAATCCTGTGTGCATGCATGTTTGAACATAATACACATACATGTACTTGATATCAATGTGTAATTCATAGATTATCAAGCTTGGCTTCAGGCATCTGTATTTCAAGTTACTAGTTCTCCCCATTGTCCCCCCAATGCTGATTTAGAGTTAATTTCCAGTAACAAGGGGGAGACCTATGGCTTCTTGTTTATGAAATTTTTCATGACATGGGGTCTGTAGATGTTTCTGACCAGGGCAAGCGGCAGTTCAACTGACCTGCTGAAGTCCTGGGAATACTATGATTTATATACTGATTTTATGACATTACAAATATCTTTCCAAAAGAAGTCAGTTTCTCATTCTCCATTTTCCTGGCTCCAGATCTCTGTTGGGGGAGGTCAGTGTCCTCGCAGTTGGATGATTAAACCTCCATGCCATATTAAGAAGCATGATAGATAAAGTGATAAACAGGATAGAGATAACCAAGCTTGTGCGTCTCGGGATAAGAGTTGTCAGATGTCATCTATGCACAGGGCTTGATCTAACTGTTGTTTCTGAACCATGGAGAAAAAACTAGCAGCCATTCGCTATCTCTAGGATTTTAGGGTCCATGTCTCCATTGTGCGTTTTCACACCGGAAACAAATGGAACAAGCCAAAGAGACACTAAACAACAGCAATGCACAAGATCTTAAAACACAAACACACACACACACACACACACACACACACACACACTAAGAAAAGTCATTTTATGTCAGAAGAGGGTACTGATCACCTGGAATTGGAATTACAGAGGCTTGTGCGCTACCTTGTGGGTTCTGGAACTAAAATCCTGGCCCTCTGAGAAGAGCAGCAGGTGCTCTTAATCACTCTAACAGTTCCCAAGCCTCTTGACTTACTTAATAAGAGACATCTGTACCTGGTTGGATTCTCTCTCCAGAGAAGAGTTTAATGAGATGGAAGAGTTCCATAGATCAGGTAAGCCACAGACCACTTGACTGTAGGGAAAATGAAGTCACAGATTTGGATCACAAAATTCTATGTGTTTTCTCATTTAGCTTCTGGAGCTATCTCATAGAGATGCTGTAGAATCTGTTCTGTCCTGGTATCAACAAGATAAGGAATCTTACATAGTTATGTGCCTCAAACTTGTCAAAATATTTAAAATGTCTTTGAACCCCTATTTAAATGATCTTTTTAGCAACATAAGGCAATGCATTGCCTCTAGGGGCAATTTTGACACGGCTGATATCATAGTTCTGTGTGTAATATCCACTCTGTACAAATGCTGCTTTTCTTTACAGGATTTCAATCACACATGAACACACATGTGTCTGGTATTTACAGTCCCAGGCAAGTTCGTGCATATCATAGGCATCTGACCTCTTGAAGAGATCAGAACACAGTTCTTTAGGATAGTAGATTTAAACTCTGTCACATAACACTAAATTCAAGGAGGAATCTGTGGAATAAAACAGGGGTTGGAGTTTATTGTTTCTCTGTTTCTCCCTTGATCTTAATAACATTTTTTTTAGTTGCTCTGTATTGGAAGTTGAG